CAAAAGGAGAACAACGAGCTGGGTGAACAGTTAGTGGAAGCATCGAAAATGCTGGATGAAACGAGGAAACTAATGAGAAATTTAGACATGGACAAGCACGAACTGCAACAAACGATCGATCAAACAGAAACGTTGTTGGAGATGGAGCAAGGAAAACTGGAGAGCTTGCGAAATGAAATGAGCAAACTTAAAGAAGATGCTGACGACAGATTGGCGCATAAGGATGAGCAGATGGAAAACATGAAAGCCACTCATCAGCGAGCCTTTCAGAGCGTGCAGGTATTTTTATTGGTTCAAGTTGTTTTATTAAAGGAAATGACCAGTTTGTTGATGTATGATGTTGGAATATTTCATTCGTTACGTTGAGAACGTTGACAGGACGACGACTCCATTGACGAATGCAAAATTGTGAATGACCGCTTTTTGTAGGAATCATTAGAGGCGATCAAAAACGAAAAAGCTGAATTAAACCGTACGAAAACAAAACTTCAGTTGGATGTTAACGTGAGTTTGGATATTTTAATTATATTCGAATGTAATTCCACGTGTTCCGCAGAACTGATCACTTTGGCGCAGTAGTTAAACTAGTATGAACAATTCAGACTATAAGTTATCTAACCATACTGGAATTTCTAGGTGTTAATTGACGTGATACTTTGTCTGGAAATGATTTCACGCAATAATATGGCTAGATACAATCTGTTGAAGCAGTTGTGAATTTCAAATCAAAATTGTCACACTCAGCGTAACTTTTATGATGTGATTATTTGCGGGTTTCTTCATAAATTTTCATGCCCTTAGCCGATTCATTCAACATTCAATCTGTCTCATTGTAACAGTTTTGTTTCAGGAATTACAGCTGGCACTTACACATGCAAATGAGGCGAATGAGGAGGCACAGGGCAATATTGCGAAATACATTAGTCAAATCAGTGAACTGCAGAGTGCACTGGATGAAGAATACTCGAAACGAGAACATTTCTACGAGCAATACGTGATGACCGAAAAGAAAGTAGCAGCCATAGAGTCTGAGAAAGAGGATTTAAACAAAAAGGCGGACCAGGTTGCCATCGTGAACATTCGATTAGCAAAGAGACGGATTCTGTAGAATCGCATCGCAAAATTTATCGGTGATAAGAGCTGTTTATTGACAATAAGTCTTAATCACATTCTTAGTTGAACAGCATTCTTCTTTAAATGGATGAACTTGAGAGCATTTTGGAAATTGTATTCAACACTCACGATTGTATCTTTGCAAATAACGAGGCAATAGTTACAGTCATCGATTTGCAGATTGTTTTCAGATGAAGAATTCTTTGAAACAGTTCGGAAATGAGATACAAGAAATGAATGAGCATAATGCTGAGTTGTCTGCAAAAAGCAACGATATAAGTCTGGCACTGAAGAAGCTTGAAGCCGACAAACTGATAGCTGCGGTAAGCAATAGAGTAATTTGTGGTCATAGGCGGATAAATCACTTGTTAATCACCTCCTCAACACCTTTCAAGCGTTAAGACATACTGCTCGTCTTGCCCTTCAAAAGAGTACGACATTACAAAATCATATTAAAAGAACATTTTCTTACTCTTATTCTGATTGCCTCACAGCAGTAATTTGCACCGGATCTACTCACCAGAGCATCGTCCATGTAGAAGCGAAACATGAGTTATGATATGTATTTGTGAACGCCGTTTTTAGGCTCAACTGGATGAGGCATTCAACGAACTGAAAACCTGTGAAGAACGCTCGAAACAAATCAGAGCTGATGGTGCGCGTTTCAGCGAGTTACTGGCCCAACAGCAAAAGCAATCTGAACAAACTGATCAGCTCAAAAAAGCACTTGAAGTTCAAATCAGAGAACTGCAATCCAAAATTGATCTGTCTGAAATGACAATTCTACGCTCTGCGAAGGGTAGCGGTACACTTCTGGCTAAGCTCGAGTACCGCTATAAAACGCTAACAGCTGAAATTGAACTGGAAAAACAAAAATATCAACAGGTCGCAAAGACGATCGCGAAATGCGAACGTAAGTCGAAACAGTTGCAATTTGAGATTCAGGAAAATGAGAATGGCATCAATAGATTGCGTGAAACCTCCGAAAAACTGCAGCGTAAACTGAAGGAGCAAAAAACACTCATCGATGAAGCGGTATGTTCATTTGGCAAATTCTTTGAAATTCACTGAAAATCATACTGCTTGAAATTACGAAAAAACATTAGTGAAATTCCAGATTATAAGAATGAACTTTTGTTTTAAATAACAGACTGTTCTATTCATTGTTTCCATTGTTAAAAGTGAGAGAAGGTATCAAATTTGTGT